AAGCTTGTTCTAAGTAGGTGCTTTAGACCACTGAGCCATCTCTCCAGCCCAGTAAGTATATATTTAAAGAGCTAACAAAAAAAAAAGACTCAGAACAATATTTTTAATGTTTTAGAGTTTTGTTTTTGTTTGTGGGTGGTGAGAGAGATTGGACCTAGGACCCAGGTCATGCTAGACAAGCACTCTATCACTGATATATATCCTCTGTCTTATTTTATAGAGCTTGACAAGCTAGATCTTGTATATATTACTTATGCAATAAGAACATTTTGTTTTTTTCCAGGAAAGTAAGGAGGGAATCAGGTGTGATGGCACATGTCTGTAATCCTAGCACTCAGAAGGCTGAAGCAGGAGGATCGACTTGAATTTGAGGCCAGCAAGATCTTGTCTCAACAAAAAGAGATCTAGGAAAGGTCCTTCCAGAACTTACAGAGGTCCCAGAAGTGAACTAGATTCTAAGGGTCTTTTGTAAAGGAAAACCTTGACAGACTTAAGGAAATTAAGACAATGGAAGTATATACTATACTTAAAAATAGTTAAAAATCAATCAGGTGTGGTGGCTAATACCTGTGATCCCAACTAGTTGGAGGCTGAGACAGGAGAACTACTCGTTTGAGGACAGCCTGGGCAATGTAGTGAGATCCAAGCTTAAAAAATAAAAAGGGCTGGGGCATAACTCATGATGGAGTACTTGCAGTGTGAGACGCTGAGTTCCATCTCTAATGGAGGGAGGCGATGGTAAATTCTGTCTTCCCACAATTAAAAACAAAAAATTTTAAATGGAAATTAAAGGAGCTGGTGAAAATGTGGCGTAGTGGTAGGACACTTGTTTAGATGTCAAGGCCTTTAGTTCAGGTTTGATCCTCAGTGCCACAAAATAAACAAACAAAAAAATTAAAACAGGAAAGTGTCTTGCGTGTGAAGTATTCTAGAAGCCGAAGCAGCAGCCACGCCCCTGACAGCCAAACTGCCTGAAAAAATCATCCCCTTACAAGACATGTAGACACTGCAGCCCAAACGGGCACTGATAAATAGCACATCCCGTGCCAGAGCAGGGTTTGGGGCACAGCACGGACTGTAGGGCCTGGGCCACGGGTGTTCCCAGCCACCAGGGGCTTTCTGACGCCCAGTATCCAAGTCCTCATGGCCCAGAGCTCCTACCGAGCCAGCAGCTCCGAATTCCTGGAATGCTCACCCTGCGCGCCTGCAAGCCTCGGGGACGTTTTACAACCTGCTTCCTAACACGTCAAGTATACTTTGGCTGCTTCCTGGGGCCTCAAAAGAGTGAGGTAAACTCTTACCCTCATTATCTCCACCTGCCTTGCAATAAATACCAAGCCTTGCTTGCAAACCACCTCGCAGCTGACTCAAGTTCTGGTCGTCCAACCCTAGCTCACTCGTCCCAGCTTCTCTGCCTTGCTATCATCGCCAAGCAGAAAGAAGCCTCTGCATCTGAGCCCCAGGGCATTGGGGGCAAGCGTGTTTTGAAAAATGTCCTACTCAAGATTATCAGATGACCCTCAAATCATCTAATCCTTCCCTGCAATTCTATTTCTCAACAGGAACAACCGTTTTGGTTTCACATTTCACCCCACTGCGGCTAAAGCAGTCTGACTTGTCAGCAAGTTCGACCCCACGGGCTCGGTGGAGCACGCCTTTAACACGGGCATCAACGTCCAGCCAGGTGTACAGAACAGAAGCAAAACATGAACCTCCCGGCGGCGGGGAAGGATCCACCTCTGCGTTCAGGACCCAGCGCGTCCTCGGCGGGGTTTGCGTCTCCTACCCCGTTTGCAGAGTCCGCAGACGGCTCACGGGAAAGCAGGTGCCCTGCGCAGCACCCCGATGGTATCAAAGCGAGTCCGGGCGCTGCCTGCAGGTGGTAACATTCCGGCGGAGCGAAGGGGCCAGAGCGCAGCCAGGGCTGGGACACTGAGGTGCCAGCACAGGAAGAGGAAGGGGAAGCGGGAGCACATGACCGGGTCGCTCAGTAAAGTGGAAAGCAAGTATCCAGCCGCCCTCAAGCCGAGCCGAGCGTCTGCGCGCAGGGAGGCGCCCCGGCTCGGGGCTTCTGCTGTCCCCAAGAACACACTCGGCGAGAACGGGGGACCAGGGGCCTGGAAGTGACAGTTAACTTCAGGCCGTTACTGGGGTCCCGCCCGACGCTGTCCTCCCTTGGCTACTCCGGGTGAAGCTGTCGCTTGCCCCAGCGCCGCGGCCGGGAAGCGGTGACCCCTCCACCCCGCCTGTCGCCTTCTGCGGCCCACAGGGCGCCGACTCCGGGCAGCCGCGCCCTCTCCCTCGGCGCCCCTCGGATCCCCGCCGCCCTGCCCCTGCAGCCCGTCCGCTCCGGGTCTCACCGCCGGAAGGCCTCCTGCAGCAGCGCGCAGGCGGGGCCGGCTGTGGAGCCGGCGCCGTGACCGATGGAGAAGCTCTCGGGCGCAAGCTGCAGCAGGCGCGGGGACAGCTGCACGGCGCGCGGCAGCGGCCACAGCGC